AAGATTAAATGTAAGGCGTTGGGTTATTTATAACTCGCTAGTCATAAGTGTTCCCAACGTGAAATAGACCTCCCATGTAGATGATAAACAACAGATGTTGGTATATTTATGTTATCTAAAACATGAACACTCACAAACAGCCTGAGGGATATCGAGTTTCAAGTTGAAAGCGTGAATTTCGACCTGCGTGTATGGGATACTGATAACATGACTCGACATTCTGTTGACCCATAGACCCTCTAACAGAGGGATAGGATAAAACATGCCTCGAAATCGTCCGCCATCTTAAAATGAGTATCAGCTGTAATTTGCATAATCACATCTCGCGATGTACGAGTTGTTGGGTATTTTGCATAAGGCCGTCTCGCAAATGGCGAGAGTTTGTTGAGTTTTAATCCGTAAGTTGAAACCGTTAGTTAAATTTAGTTAAGGGATTACAAGTAACATAGATCACAGGAAATACCGCAGTTTCCTATCCCTCTGTTAGAGGGTCTATGCTTAAACCACAGTCACTCTACTAGGACGGTTAGGAAGCGCTGCGTCATTCTATTGTACCCACCCTTGTCTCCATAAACATTGAAACAAGAGAGGTGTTAACGAGCTAAGAAGTCATTAGCATTAAACGGGCGACGGAAAACACGCGATAAATCATGAGACAGTGCGAGAGTTGCGTCATTTTCCCCACAAAGCATTGCAATACATGGCACTTTGACCTTTCAACGAAGAGCAGTCTCAAATGCGGAAATGAACATGCTTTGTATATACACGCTTTTCGCGAGAAAATCTTGCGGTCTTATATGGCATTCTGAAATTATAAATAGTTAATAGAATACTATATGTAAAATAAAGCGAATGGAGGGATATGAAAGCACGACAATCAAAAATCTCTTTTGTCCGATTACCTCCTATGAAAACTATGCAATAAAGCAACACGGCGACCACCTCCATAGACGAAAACATGCAAAACTTCGCCATAAAGTGACTCTAAAAACACACAAAAAATACGAGAATGGACAAAGGAATATTGTAAAGGTTTGCAGACATCAATGTTTTTAGCGATAAAATTGTTTCTAAACTGAGTGAGGGGTTTATTTTACGGACCGAAAGACTGTTAGAGATCAAGACAAAGAGACTGTCAACAAAACACCGTTTTTCTCGAGTAAAGCATCCTCAAGATTGCAAAAGAATGCTCATCCGAAAAATACAATATCACTCCTAGTCACAGTTCAGTTGAGATTGTAGTTTGATGTAAAAATAAAGCACAATTTAAAAAAGTTCACGGTCTTCTCGAGGGTCTTCTCGAGCAACATCGAACGCAATAAATAATGGTGAAAAATACACAGTCACTTGGGGGCTGAAAATCAATAAATACTATTTTTTTTTTAAAAAATCATCCGCTATACGTATATAAATAAACAAGTTGTGAAACACGGCACCTAGTAAATCGACACCCTGTCGGTTTCAAATGTCGATTTCTTACCTTAAAATGCGAAACAAAAAGTGCAGAGGGGGTCAGGTGTTATGTTAATAACCATTGTTCATAATCGCTAACTTGGTTTTATTCAAAACTGCACAAATCCCGCGTTTTCTGATGATATCCGACGATTTCATGAACGAAAATGGCCAGCAGCCAGAATCAAGGG